CATAATAATCTAAATGAATATAAAATATATATTAATCAATTATATTTGGAATCACAAATACAAATGAATCTTCAACAATTTATTGATCAAATGCCTATTATTATTCAATTTATAGATTTTAAAACTGAATTATATCGACAAATAAATTTAGAAACATCTCTTAAAATTTTACAACAAACTCTAAATTCATTACCATTTTTAAAAATAACAAAATTAATCTATGATCTTAGTCAATTTTATCGTCTTCTACATCAAAATTATTCAAAATTAATTGAACAAAATGAATTTTTAACAATAACATTACAAGAATTATATGATCGAGGTCAAAAATATTATAATAATTCTAATTATCAACAAAATAAAAATGAAGATAAAACACATCGATCAATTATTGAAAATGGAATTGAAGCTGTCAAAATTTATCATCAATTTTCTAATGGTTTTATTCGACCGGGTGCTTGTGATGAAACTCAACATTTTTCAATCATTACATTTGATACACCAGTTAGTTATTTAGTTACAAATGAAAATCATGACGAAGGCGATATTATTATGCGCATACTCAGGTTAATTCATTTTACCTTTAACTTCCGTATATGACATGACCGAGAGCAAGTATCTGAAATACTTATCCTAGTACAAAAAAAATAATATCTAGTTCCAATCATTAGGTAATTGAAACTGATGAATGAAGTGCCTCACTACCAACGATAAAATTAATACTACCCCTATTTTTCATGGATATTTTCAATGATAGTAAACCATAGAAGACAAAAGTTCGTCAGAAAATTGTTTCATTTAAAGAACTTCGTAGAGCTGGTAAAGTTGATCATTTTGGTAAAAAAAAAACTTTTAAATATCCTCAAAGAATGATGATAATACATTCAAAATCCTCAACAAGCGTCAATTACTGCTTGGCAGAAGTTAGAAATAGCCGGAAGATTTTGAGGATTTGGAACGTATTACTATCATTTTTTGAGGATATCTACAAGTTTCTATAAATGAAACAATTTTCTAACAAACTCTTGTCTTTTATGATTTATTATCATTGAAAATATCCATGAAAAATAGATGTAGCATTAATTTTATCGTTGGTAGTCAGCTGATTCGATTCCGAACTTTCGAATTCATGCTTAAGTTTATGACTTACATGAAATATAAAATAATTCAAAATTCCTATGCTTTATATGAGAGGTTTATTTAAACAATTCACCAGAATCTACTAGGATCTAATACTGATAACAAGAATATGCACTCTAAAAAAAGCAGTTATACTACAGAATCCTTTAAAGTTCCGCAGCAGCTACGAAACCCTTTTTAGAGAGTGCGTGTACACCAAAACGCATCTCTGTTTACATTTACATTCTTTAGAACTCATTTTATCTTTGATGCATTATTATCGGGTTTTGTTTTGTCTTTTTAAGTATTAACCTATCGATCGTTTTCTTCAGTCTGAATCTTATGAAAAATTGAATGAGTTGAGAATACAAGAAGCTAGCGGTATGTGATTTTTAACAATCAAAAGTGAAAAAACATGAGAATATATTTTCCGCCGATAACAAATACGATATTATCACTTTTAAGCTGATAATTTGCAGAGAAGATTCAAAAATATGTATGAAGAGATAGTCTATCAATACGATAAGATTTTGATGTCGATTGTTTGACTAAATAATAAAGTATTCTGGTGATTTGTGAATAAATTTTCGTATTCATTTTCTAAATTTCAAAACTGAAAAAGTCAACGAGTTTGAATTTTAACTTACTCAATTGTTAAATGAATATACTTAAATTTTGTGTCGATTGAAATTTCATTATTAAATAATTATATGAAGTAAATTTCTTGATTGTTATTTTTTTAGTGTCTTAGTTGATTATCACAATAGTTTATTAGACTTATTGGAAGATGAATTAAAAAATAATGAAAATCATACTGTTGGTTCTCTGAGAAACTTGATCAAAGAATTAACATCAAAAAATATCTCAATTTTACAAATTGCAAATGATAATACAGGCGTAATTAATTTGAATGAAAAAGATTGTCTATGGATTGAACAATTATCTCAAGCAAGTCTTATTCATAATACAGAACAATACTTCATTACATCAGGTTCACGAATAAAGTTTGATTTTGTCTATATTCAATCACAGATTATTCGAACATATCTTCTATTTTGTCGAATCGATTATCATCATTTTATTCAAAAATATCAATGTCACACAAAAAGAAAATCAACAATAAATGTTGAATATTTAAATCTCGATAAAAAATATTTGATTCGATTAAGTGATGAGCAACTTGAAAATGAATGGAATCATTTGAAAGATATTTTATTAGATAAACTTTATTATTCTCATAATCTTCTAAGACAAATAGCATTAACATTAAAAGATCAACAAAATGATTTTTCATCAAATAATATCTTTGAATTTATTAGAATGATTGATTATGATAATGATATTCTTCAACGATTAGAACAATATGAAATAAAAGATTTTCAATTATGTTATATTGATCATGTTATTGAAATCTACAAAGAATCTATTAGTGGATTTCAACATTTGTCTACAGATATTCCACCATTACTTCGAGTTCGTATTGATTCTGAAGTAAATGAAGAATTGATTCAAAAATTAAATGACAACATATTTAATATGGATGACAATAATGATATAGACAAAATTCAAATAAAAATTCATATAATTACAAAATTTCTTAATGAATTAAAAGATATTGAAGATAATCTTCAACAAAAATCTACACAATCATTAATTGAAATATGTCAATATTTAGCAATCGATAATCCAATTATTTTATGGTTACCAAATAGAATTAAATGTGAAAATTATGTTGATCTTTATATTCATTTAATTTGTACAAGATCAAAACTTCAAGAAAAAAAATTTAACATAGAAAAACAACAAATAAAATTATGGAATGAAAATCTTAATTCACATGAACAACAAGATCAATTAGAAAATCATTTTTATCAATATTTAAATTTACAATATGATAAACAAAATATGAATGAAATAAACACTTGGAAAATTACTTCAGAATCAAACTTTGATTTAAAAAATCAATATTATTTACATCATATAGATTCATCTGTAAATCAACAAGAAAATAAATCTAAAGATTTCTCTGAAAATGATATTAAATATATATCTTTAATGACATTAAATTTAAAATCGGTTCCATATACATCATCAATATTTTTTCAACAAATACATAAATATCGAGAAGAACCATCAATAAAATCAATTATTTCAAATAAAGCACAAAAATTTACAATTATACATCCAAATGGAGAATCAAAAACATATTTATGGAAAAATGAAAATTTTTGTGAAAAATTACAAATGTTATTTAATGAGAAAAAATATGATCACGATTTGCTTGTTGTTGTCAATAAAAATGAAATTTTTATTGATTTTACAAAGAATAATTATCGATCATCATCAGATCCATCACTTTTAGAATATTATATTATTGAAAAACAATACTTGATTCAAATTCAAATTCATTTTCGATCAAATATATCTGAATATTTCACTACATCGAAATGTAAAATTTCAACTATTATTCATCATTTTATTGATGAGAAACAACTTGAATCTTTATCATCAGATAGAATTCTTTGTTTCTTTGATGAATTTGGCAAATGTATTGATGATGGAATCATCAATGATCTTTGTAAAACACATCATAAAACAGTATTAATTTTCGTAACAGAAGAAATACCAAATGCTAACATTCTATATGAACTTGCTTTACATTACAATGAAGGTAATAATAATCAAAAGAAAAACTATTGATAGAATTTTTGTCATATTTTTATTTAAATACTGACTACGATTCCTTGAATAGTTTTTGATCCATTACAACTACCAAAATCATCTTTTCAGTATCGTTTAAATTAATGCTGCAGATATTGATATGTATAACTTTCTTTAGATTTGAAGAAGTTGTTCATAAATATTTCAAGATGAATAAAGAATTATTCTTGTTACTCATTTCTAGAACTTTGAATAATGACCTATGTTCAAATTATACCAATAACCAATCGAAAGAAAACTGGATTTCATATAAAATTTTCACATTTTAGAATATTTCTATTGAATCATAAATATAACTGGTAAGGATAAAAACTCGGTATTTTGAAAATATTCATGAAGAACTTCTTTAAATCTTATAAATATTACAGAAATCGAGATGACTAGTATTGCTATGTCCCATAGTAAAAATCCAACTTTGACAACTATAAATGATTGATAGTGACTCAAAAATTCATAGTTAAAATTTTAGAAAATATTCAATCATATTTTTTGTTTTCTATAGATCAAAATCAAATGATGAGTTTATTTTATTCAACAACAAAATGGCAACAAATTAATCTTTGGCTAAAAACTCTTTTACATCTAATTGATCCTTCTGTTGATGATTATATGTTTTTAATCCGAGAAAAGAAAACAATTCTTGATAATGATCAAAGTATTTTATCAACATTCGATCAAACAGAATCAATGATAATCGATATTATTAATCGAAATATTGTAACTAAAGTTCAGTTTACATTTGAAACAAATAATTACTCTAATTATGCTTTAAAATCAACGAAAATTTCTTCTTTATTAAATAACGAAAATATTCTTGAATACTTAAATTTAACTGATCTATCTTTTGATGATTGTCTTCTTGTCGTGAAAGGAAGCAATGAACATATATTAACAAAAGAAGATCTTCAAAAATCTATAGATACTTATTCAATTACTGAAAATGAACCCATTCATTTTCAAATAATGACCTTAGTACAAATAACAAAATATGACGATGAAGAACAAATAAAAGTTCCTTTATTAAATAGAAATATAACTATTGAAGAATTATTACATT